CGAACTCACAGAGATCTGCCTGCCTCTGCTTCCTGAGTACTGGGATTAAGAGCCTTCCCCACAAACACGCAGGCATGGCTCAGGCTCAGTGAGCACAGCAGTGTCCAAAGAAGACAAAGCTCTCGGGGTTTCCCCAGATAACCCTTCCAACAAGAAAGTAGAGACTCCATCAGTGAGGCTGTGCCTGGTGGCACACACCCACCCTCCTGGAACCCGAAACACCCCCGCAGGAGGACCAGGGGTTCAAGGCTAGCCTGAGCTACAAGAAAACCTGTCTCAACAAAAACAAAATACCCACCAGACACACAGTGGCCAAGGGAACAGGGAGGGCTGAGGGGACAGGGGAGGTCTGGTGGCACTCAGTGCTGTGACAGCCCAGGGGACAGAGGGGGTCTGGGGGCACTCAGTGCTGTGACAGCCCAGGGGACAGAGGAGGTCTGGGGGCACTGTTGCAGCCCTGGAGGGAGAGGGTTGGCCAAGCTTGGAACAGGGAGTTAGTGGTCGAAGCACAGGAAGGTGCTTCCAGCAGAGGACAGATTCCCAGGTTTGGAGGCTCCTCCCTTCCTTCCCCACTTCTTTCCTGAGCCCAAGCGAGTACCACACATACCTGATTTGGGGTAGGTGACAATGAAGATGTCCTCATCCCTCACGTTGTCGGTGTTCTCGGCCAGGCTGAGGCTCTCAGGTGAGTACATGCCGACTGGAAAGGGGATGCCTTTATACCTGAAATATTCACCCTGCAGCTTCTGGCTGTAAGAGAGGAATGGCACACTAACCATGAACAAGGAGGTGGGCAGCATGTTGCAGGCCCGCCACTGGCACCCTGGTGGGCACGGTCCCTCCTCTGGGCCTTGTACCCTCTGGAAAGTACATCTGCTTCAATATCACCGCAGCCACCCCCTGACATCTGCCTATTATACTCATATTACAGGTGTAGAAAGCTGGGCACAGAGGGCAGGGGCGGCTTGCCCAAAGCTGACAGCTGGCAGGAAGCAGAGTACTTCACATCTGTAAGATAGAGCTAAGTGTTCTCCTCATGTTTATTCCGCATCCCAACCCTGGAAGGTGAGACCACGTGACCAGGCCATTTTATAAATGAGGAACCCAAGCCAAAGGTGGCAGGTGCCCTGCCCACGCTGCACGCTGCCCATGTGAAAACCCACAACGACTCACTGAGAAGCTAAAATGATCTAGCTGCTTTTCCTAAAGCCATGACGCATTTATGCAGCCACAGAACTGAGTTCCCAAAGAGAAAAATTGAACCCAGGGCTTCTGGAATGGTACAGGATGAGCCATGCCCACAACCCTCTATTAATTTGTTGGAGATAGGGTTTCACTAAACTGTTCCAGATAGTCTTGAAATTTTGGTTCTTGGTCTCAGGATGACAGACCTGGGCAACCAGGCTCATCTAGAACATATATTTTATCTAATGTGTTATTAGTAATGGAGCTTGAGCCTTGGTGCTGGCACATTAGCCCATTGTTTGGGGACAAAAGGAAACCACAGAAAATTGCCTAATTTTGAAGAACAGTACTCACTAAAAGTTCATAAGAACAGCTCTTGGTTACATCTGGGGGGGGGGGGGGGGGGGGGGGGGGGGGGAGTAGCAAGCATCCTCAGACATGGATTACAAGGTTCTGGCTTCTGTTTCTGGTTTCATGCCACTCTATCTGAGGGAGCAATTCCCACACTCCACCACTGTGCAGTAACTGAATGTCATCAGTGTCCCACTAAAGTCCTCTGAATGTTACCTTTGCAGGTCCCTGTGTCTGTCCCTCTCGATATGGAAGGGACCAAAGACCCAGGAAAGTTAGGGTGGCCAGAACTGTGGATGTCACCAACTGCACTTCACTCTCTTTGAGTGAGACCAGTGGATCAAGCTAGTCATTCCCAAGACAAAGAAAGCTGAGGCAGGAGATCAGAAAGCTAAAGGCCAACTCCCGAAGCACAGGGAGGTTTAGTCTCACAAAGTAAGAAGCTGCCGGGTGGCACACACCTTTAATCTCAGCACTCAGGAGGCAAAGGCAGGCAGATCTCTGAGTTCAAGGCCAGCCTGGTCTACAGGAGGAGTTCCAGGGTAGCCAAGGCTACACAGAGAAACCCTGTCTCAAATTCCCCTACCCCCCAAAAAAGAGGGCTGGGGAGTTTTTAGCTCAGTGGTTAGAAGTACTTAACAGCTATTTCAGAAAACTCAAGTTCTGATTCTGATACCTACATAAGGCAGCATACAAATACCGAATGCCTCTGATGCCATCTGATGCTCTCTTCTAGCCTTCATAGGTATCCATATGGACACACACATGCACATAAACACAATAAAATATACCTTAGAAAAAAGGTTTGGAATGTAAAATTCCCAGTGAGGGGTTGGGGTTGGTGTGGCTCAGTAGTAGAGCTCCTTCCTATAATCCCCAGTGAAGGGTGGGCATGGCTGTGTGGTATGTCACAAGGCCCTGGGTTCCATCCCTGGAGCAGCAACAACAATGATGCTGATGATGTTGGTGATGAGAGTTTGATTCTGAACACATAGGTGAAACTCAGAAACATGGAGGTTAGCACATTCAGGAATCCACACCGTGGGAAGTTCTCTGTGACTTGGGTTTTTGATACATATATGGGCATAATAACTGCCGCCTTGTAGCATTCTGTAAAGTGCTCAAGCCGCTGTCTAACATGGAGAAAGTGTTGCATCAAAGTCAGTTAAATTTCACCGAGAAGGACTGTAAGCGGTCAACTGGCAGCCTGGTAGCCTGGCTTGAAGTTAGCATCCCATAAACCCGAGCTAAAACAGTCATTTTACACAACAGTGGATAAGTGACAAGCAAGCCCTGCTCGGGCCAGCCTGCAGGGCAATGTACCTTCAGTAAGTTGTGAATTCTTTACAGACTTCATTTGCCCAGTGATCTTACTGCTTTTCTACAGGTTGACCCTAAGAGTAGAATGTGTGATATCACCAGTTACCAGGTAGATTTGGCTCAGGAAGCGGGAGCGGTGAGATCAACAGTTACCAGGCTGATGGATGCCTGCCCACGACTATGCCTAACCTGCCTTGCCACCGCCTTGAGCCTCAGTTTCCTTGTCTGCCACACGTGGACAGCAATAATCACTGTTCCAAGCCTTCACTCCTACTGAGGATATACTTGTATATCTTAAATACTAGGCTCTTAAGAGACACTCAGTAGCCCCAAGTATGATTTAATCTTTGATCTCAGCAGCTCCTTGAGAGAGCTGTTTCTTTCCCATTACAGGAGAGGGAAACTGAGTCACCTTCTAGGGAAGAATCTTGTGCCCTTAGGCACCCTGAAATGATTCCTGGGTGACTAAGTAAAGTAATGTGGACACCTGGGCCACTGCTCCACTGGGAAAAAAAACAAAAAACAAAAACTCTGAATGCAGCTCACATCCCCAGAGGCCAAGCAGCCAGAGCTCAGGCTGCTGACACTCACGTCACGTGTGAGTGAATGAATGAATGAGAGAGAAGATGGTGACGAGTAAATGAACTTATGAATGGATGAGTGGATGGATGAATGAAGAGTGGATGAAAGAGCACCCGAGAGAATTGAGTGAGAAAATGAATCAATACACAGAATTGAGAATGACTAGAGAATAGGAGAATGAACAGTGAAATGAACGAAAGGATGGGTAAATGAAGGGCAGAATGAAAGAAAGTCCCGGAGCGCTTGTGTCCCTCCCTGCCTGTGCCTTCAGCCCTGGATACTGTAGAGACTTCACCAGCCAGGGGAAGAACTCTAAGATTCCAGAGCCCCTTGACCCTCCACAGTCCTCCCACTCCCTCCTCCTCATCCCCACCCTCATGCCAGCTCTGGCCTCCACCTGGCCTCTCGGGTCTGTGGAGTCCATCTCTAACCCCTTCTGCTCCTAGGCTCACACAGCCTCTTTGGGTTTTGTGACTGGGCTGATACTCACAGGCATGTCTCCACATTAGCACCGCAAGTGATGAGGGCTCATCCTCACAAGGCAGCCAACTCAGCCCCCATGGTAGACAAGGAAGGGCTGGATTTATACAGGCTCCCCATTTAGGAGATGGATGGGAGGAGGAAAAGCCACCACCATCAAAGCCTCGACTGTAGTCATCACGTTTTTATAATTCTGTCTCCACTAAAGCCACAGTCAGCAATTCCCACCAGCAGGAGAGGACCCACCAAGGACCAGGTGCTTCTGCCCTGCCCATGCTCAGACCCACAGCACCTGTCTTACTGAAAGTAAGACACGGCCGGGTGTTGGTGGCGCACGCCTTTAATCCCAGCACTCGGGAGGCAGAGGCAGGCGAATCTCTGTGAGTTCCAGGCCAGCCTGGTCTCCAGAGCGAGTGCCAGGATAGGCTCCAAAGCCACACAGAGAAACCCTGTCTCGAAAAACAAACAAAAAAAAAGAAAGAAAGAAAGAAAGAAAGAAAGAAAGAAAATAAGTAAGACACGTCATTACAAGGGTCCCCAAGTCATCCCATCTGCCCTGTCCCTCTGGGCCATCACCTCTGTTGGCCCAACACACTGGCTTCGTTCTTCCTCCCACATTCTGAGTCAACCTTGCTGTAGGATTCTACACAGGCTGCACCCTTACCTTCTATTCCTCTACAGATTCTTGCCCGCCCCATGGGAAATATGTCATGATGTCCCCGAGCCTCATCATGGAGGACACCCCGTGGACAATGGGCCATCTGCGCGCACAGGCGCGCGCGCGCGCACACACACACACACACACACACACACACACGCACACACACACACACTCACACTCACACACACACACACTCACACTCACACACTCACACTCTCACACACGTGCACACACACTCACACTCACACACACGTGCGCACACACTCACACACGCACGCACGCGCGCACACACCACACACACTCACACACTCACTCACACACGCATGCACACGCGCGCGCGCGCACACACACACGTGCACACACACTCACACTCACACACACTCACACATGCACGCACGCACGCACGCGCGCACACACACACACACACACACACACACACACACACACACACACACACACGCGCGCACGCGCGCGCGCGCACAC